CTTCTGGCACTTTTGCCATGTAAATTACATTCCCTTTGATTAACACCTACCTATATAAGGGGACAGCCAGGAAAATGTATCCAAAGTAACTAAATATATGACTGTAAAGTTGATTAGTTCAACTCATAAAGCACTTGTGCGGATGCTCTTATTCAGAAATAAAGTTGCCTTAATTCTTATTTGAATTAAAGACACTTTAATTCTGAAGATGAGTGTCCAGGCAGGAATTTAATACAATGTAACTAATCCTCTTTAAAAGTTAATCCAGATAAATGTTTCCTGAGCCAAGTCTCTCTGGCTATGTCTAGACTGCAAGCCTCTTTCGAAAGAGAGCGTCTAGACTGCACGTTGAACTTTCGAAAAAGCGGCTTGCTTTTTCGAAAGAAAGCATCCAGTGAGTCTGGATGCTCTCTTTTGAAGAAGCCCTATTTACATTGAAGAACGCCTTCTTTCGAAAGAGGAACTTTCGAAAGAAGGCGTTCTTCCTCGTGAAATGAGGTTTACCGCCATCGAAAGAAAAGCCGCGTTCTTTCGATTTAATTTCGAAAGAACGCGGCTTGAGTCTGGACGCAGGGGAAGTTTTTTCGGAAAAAGGCTACTTTTCCCGAAAAAACCCCTGAGTCTGGACACAGCCTCTGTGTGGACACATTCTGGTTCATCTCTGAATCTGACTCATAGAATCTTGTACCCTCTGATTTTTTTGCTTTCCTGCTCTGCCCTTCTCTCCTGGCCTCTCAGCATAGGAGTTGCATCAGCTCTAAACCCAACAGGACAGGCTCCAAGGTGATGGGTAGTATGGTGTCATGTTCAGGCTGGCCAGTGGGAGGAATGTAACCTACATGCTGAAGGGGCCGGAGAAGTTTTGTGTTACATTAGTTTTGATTCCCATAGATAACTCTAGTCTTGCCCCTCCACGAGGCCCGTTGTGGGTGCTCTGTCCTCTGTAACCTCAAGCACATCCTGGACACTGGGATGCAGAGGGATGGCAGCAGTTGCTGCTGACCGTGTGGGGGCCCCCAGGAGCAAGTTGGGACCCTTCTTCTCACCCTGGAGCCGACTGATCTCCCTTTGTCAAGTCTCAGTGCCTCCCATTACTCCTCCTTTTATCCTTCTGCCCCTCCCCCATGCGCCGCATGCTTCCACGCTCTTTCCCACTCCCTGACAGTAACGTGGAGGATTGGGCCAAAAGAAATCAGCTGAGGTTCAACAAGGACAAGTGCAGAGTCCTGCCCTGGGGACAGAAGACTCCCAAGCATTGTTACAGGCTGGGGACCAACTGGCTAAGCAGCAGTTCAGCAGAAAAGGACCTGGGGATTCCAGTGGATGAGAAGCTGGATAGGAGTCAACAGGGTGCCCTTGTAGCCAAGAAGGCCAACAGCATATTAGGGTGCATTAGGAGGAGCATTTCCAGCAGAACTAGGGAAGTGATTATTCCCCTTTATTCGGCACTGGGGAGGCCACATCTGGAGTATTGTCTCCAATTCTGGGCCTCCCATTGGGATGTAGACGCATTGAAGGGAGTCCAACAGAGGTCGACCAAAATGATGAGGGGGCTGGAGCACATGACTTATGAGAAGAGGCTGAAGGATTTGGGCTTGTTTAGTCTCCAGAAGAGTGAGGGGGGAGGAGGGGGATTTGAGCGCAGCACCACTGCTGGCCTGATGAAGGGAATCTCTGCCTTTGTGGCAGTCTTGCATGCACTGTAAGGAGAAATGGTCTTTATATATAATATAGGAAAAAAACTCCTTTCTTAGGAGGGTGGGGAAGCCCTGGGATGGGTTCCCTAGGGAGGGGGTGGAATCTCCATCCCCAGAGGTTTTGAAGTCCCGGCTTGACAAAACCCTGGCTGGGATGATTGAGTTGGGGTTGGTCCTGCTTTGGGCAGGGGGTTGGACTCGATGACTCCTGAGGTCTCTTCCAAGCCTGAGATTCTATGTGGGTTACTGGCAGCGTTCCTTTTGGCAGGCGTACTACGCAGCGGGCAGGAAGAAGCGGTGCATGCTGGGAGACCGGTTCTCCCCTTCTCTCCCTGTCCCCGCAGGCGGGTGGGTGCAGATTTGCCTTTTCTCTCCAAGGTAGATGCATGTTTAGGCTTCTCTGCTGAGAAGTGGAGGTTGGTGGTAGAATAACCTCGTTTCCAAAAGCCGATTCCACGGGCCTCTGAAGTTCCCAGCATGGAGGCTCTCCACAAACCCAGGCTGGTTTAGGGCCTGATCTTTGGGGACCTCCAGCCCCAAGAGTGTTGAATGATGATTTACTGGCCTCCAATGTTCCACCCCGTAGAGAAGAAGTGGTGGCGTGCTCGCACCAGCCATTCGCACAACATTACTAGGCCACCGAGCTCCTCACAGTTGCTCTTATCCGAGCCTGTTCCCACAGGCTTTTACCAGTCACTTTCTCTCTCCCCAGTTGTGTATCAGAATATAGGAAGAGGGATGCACTTCCAAAAGTGGACTTTTGTCGACAAAACTATACCAGCGTCTACACTACCGCTGAGTTCTGTCGACATAACGTCGACAGAACTCTGCAGTTTTGTCGACGCTGGTAAACCTCATTTTACGAAGCATAACGCCTTCTGTCGACAGAGTTCTGTCGACAGAAGGTGTTATTGCATCTAAACTGTCCTTGCGTCTACACTGCCATGTCGACAAAGCAGCTTGCTTTGTTGACAGAACTGAATGTAGTGTAGACGCTCTTTGTCGACAGAAGCTTTGTCGACAGTATCTGTCAACAAACCTTCTGTCGACAAAACTCTGTAGTCTAGACGTACCCTTAGTCACGTGGCTGCTGTTAATATTCAATGGAAATTCTATGAATTTGGATACATCTACACTACATCACAGTGATCACCACTTTGAGGTGGATCCACCGGTGGTTGATTTAGCAGGTCTAGTGAAGACCTGCCAAATCAACCCCAGATCACTCTCCAGTCAACCCTGTTACTTTACCCCAGATGAGAAGATTAAGGGAATGTGGCCGAGTCTCCTGGGCAGCAGGATGGCCTAGTGGTTAGGTGCAGGTGTTAGCTGGAAGCCCAGGGTGTAGGACTTCCGTCTGCTTATCAGAATCTGTTCTGTCAGTTTGGGGCGTGGTCCCAAGAGTCCAATTTTCCCCTCCTCAATAGGGTTTTCCTTCTGGTTCTCCCCCTTTGTGCCAGGGGGAGGGGTTGGAAGCTTGCGTCCTCCTGCAGCCAACCCAGTAGACAGCTCTGGCTCAGGTCCTACGGACGGCAGAACTAGCTCTGGCCTCTTTGCTGGTCAGCCCCTACCTGAGCCGGGCTTCCTCCTTTTATTCTCCCTCCAGGCCTGGCATTGGCTGCAGGTAAAATGGGGTGAGGCTAAATGGGCAAAAAGGCCTTTTTTAGCCCCTGCACTGTCAGGTCCTTCTCTCACTCCCTCACAGGGAAGTTGATGGGAGAGAGCCTGCGGTAACTTGGCTTACGGTATATTGACTCCAGTCATTCACATAGTCAGTGTTCTGCCGTAGTGTAAATGTAGCCTTTGTTCTGTTTCTAAAATGTATCCCTTTTGTGCACTGGATCAGCTTCACTTCTGTTCCAACCCCTTTTCTGTCTAAATAGGAGCAACATGATCCAATGGCCAAAGCAGCAGCTGGGGAGTTAGATTCTAGTCCTAGCTCTTGTCAACAGGGAAGAATGGTTTAGTAGTTAGAGCGCTAGCCTATGGCATGGGAGAGTGGTGTGCAATCCCCTGTTCCACCACAGGCATGTCCCCTCTCTCAGTTTTCCCATCTGCAGTATGGGGATAATAATTCGTACTCCCTTTATAAAGTGCTCTGAGCGCCTCATACAAAAAGGAACAGCGCAGGAGCAGTTGTTCTGAGCTCCTTGAGAGAGACTTACAAAACTGATGTAAGTCACCTTCTCTGGCTCCTGCTGCCCATGCGGATTTGTATTTCTAAGGCCACATTTCTAGCATGCACAGAGCAAGCTTTTCCAGACCCACGTTGCTGCCCAAGATCACTCCAGCCCGATGTTCTGACTGCATCTTCTCAGAGTCCCCCCAGTGGCTGCCCCTTCCCCGCCACGCACGCTGCCTGCTCACTGGCCTTATTGTAAAGACCATTCCCATGGGCAGTGGGTGAAGGTAGGGCTGGGGGCTTGCCCCACTGCCGTGGGACCCAAGCCTCGTCTCTGCCAGCACCATGGGGAATTGGGGCGGCATGTGGCTCCAGCCAGGAGCATGGGGAGGGCAGGCGCTGGGGGGCAGCAACACTCTACCCCCAATGCGCCTCCAGCAGGCGGTCTGGGGGTGGAGAATGGGCGGGGCCAGGCTGGAGGTTTGGGAAGGCAATGCCTTCCCCCGCCTATGATACCCGCCGTCCCTAACCATGCCTGTTTAGACCTGCCGTCTCTGTCAGCTCAATGAGTGTGGAGCTACCTGCCGTGTTTGCTCCACCAGTGGTGCCAGCCTATGTCGCCTATTGGTCCACATCCTCTTCCAAGTGCTTTGGTGCTTTCTCTCACATCCCTCTTGTGGCGGGCTAATCAAAGCCACAGCTCTGTTCTCCTGCTGGTCCCTCCTGTAGGTTCACGTCTGCTTGGATGCGCACCGAACACTACCGGTGGGTCACGGTACAACAGCTTGTGGCTCAGAGGTAGACTCAGCTCACTTTCCCCTGTTACAGTTACTTTGGCCCAATCTCCCCTCAACCTCCATTTTTTTTAAAAATTTTTATTCACCTTTTGCCTGGTCTCACTGGCCAGGAACATAAGTTCTCTAGGACTAGGACTATCTGTTTACTGCATGTTTGTACAGAGCCCAGGAGAACTGGACATGATTCCTGATTACACAATTACAGTGCAAATAATAATAATCCATAAACCATTCATTATTATTAATACTTTAATATTATACACCATAATTTAATTATAAATAATAAATAATTGATGGTAACACTGACACTTTTCTATCTCCTGACTTGCCTGTGAGGTGCTCCAAAGATGTTCCAAGTTCTTATTCCTTTGTCTCCTTTCTAAGAGCCCACAGTGCCGTTCAAGACGAAACTGAAGGATGTGGAAGTCCAGGAGAAAGAATCTGCCACCTTCCAGTGCGAGGTGCCTGTCCCGAGCACCGAAACCGCCTGGTTCAAGGAGGAGACCAAACTCCAGCAGAGCAGGAAATACAACATCGAAGAAGAAGGGACGCACCGCCGGCTCACCATCCAGAACGTCACCACGGACGATGACGCCGTCTACATCTGTGAGATGAAGGAGGGGAGCCGGACCATCGCGGAGCTGACTGTCCAGGGTAAGACAGCAGATTCCGCGGAGGAGAATCCCCACCCTGCAAAGGTTTCTGGGTGTGTGGCAAAGGTAAATCCTGCCTGACGAGGTTGGCAGTTTTATGTGGAGTTGACACGAACGTCTGCAGCGGCATTTTAGGCGTGCTCTCGGTGTGGTTTCAAAAGGCCCGCAGTGTTACTAGCACAGGCGATGATCCCATTGACTGGGGACTGGACCTGGACATGCCAGGAAGAAGCATGAGCCTGTACCACTTAGATGAAAAGATCCGAGGCCAGCTCTTAAATGGTCCTTAGGTGTCTAAAGATGCAAATAGGCTCTTCCTGAGGTTCTCAAAAGCATTTACGGGCCTGTCTCCCATCTACCAAAACCGTGTGCTGCCCAGGAAGGCTGGGGGTGCATGCCACCCCATCTCCCAATGATGGGGGGCAGGGCCTGGCCAGAAGGAGTAGGGCTGGGGGGGGCAGGTTGGAGGCTTGCCTCCCCCAGCCCTACCTTCACCCACTGCCCATGACTCCCTGACACATCTGGCGGAAGCAAACGATGGAGGGGAGGGGCAAGGAGCAGAGCCATTTAAGTGAAAGGACAGTGTCGGCACCAGAACAAATGGAGATAAATAGGCTGTAAATAAATGTAGACTGGAAGTTAGAAATACAGAGGACTGAAGTTTTGCAACGGAAGGAGTTGGGGGCAAATAATCTAATTTGAAAGATGGATCTTGGCAAATTTATCGACAGGATTCTATGGAGGGCTTGCCTGTGCTAGCAGGGGAATGGAACTGATGACCCAATAAGTCCCTTCTGTCCTATGTTCCTGTCTAGTCTGACCTCCTGCAGCATACAGATCGCAGCCCCTCACTCAGTCCCTCCGTACGTTGTGGCTGAGCCAGAGTGGTTGGCATTGTTTGGCTCCCCATGATCTGGAGACCACAGTACTCTAGGGCTCCTGGATTGTGGCTGAGGGAACTTTCTTTCATACAGGCAACATCATTAAAAAACTGCCGCGCAAGACGGCGGTCTCCATCAACGACACCGCCATATTCTGCGTGGAGCTGGACAGCGAGAGCCCGCATGTCCGCTGGCTGAAGAACATGGAAGAAGTGAAGCCCAGCGAGCGAGTCACCATTACTGCATCCGGCAAGCAGCATACCCTGATGATCCGGGAGTGCAAGATGACAGACGCTGGGGAGATCGCGTTCCTGGCTGATGAGTGTCGGACATCTACCCAGTTCACTGTATCCAGTAAGCTTCCCTTGCTTCTACATTGGGAGATTTACCCAGGTCCTTAACTCAAATCATTTTTGTTTTCCTTTGTGTGAATCATTGCTCCCAGGTGGGGCCGGGGAGGAGGGGTTCAGGCTGCAGGCTGACCCAGGGAGAGAGGACTGAATTTTGGGTCCTAGGTGACGGGAGAGAGGACTGAATTTTGGGTCCTAGCTGGATAGCGGGGGAGGGATAGTGCGGTGGTTTGAGCATTGGCCTACTAAACTCAGGGTTGTGAGCTCAATGCTTGCAGAGGCCATTTGGGGCAAAAAATCATTAGGAATGGTACTGTTGTGAAGGCAGGGGACTGGACTTGATGACCTTTCAAGGTCAAGGTCCCTTCCAGCTCTAGGAGATAGGCAATCTCCATTATTAAGTTAAATAGCTCTTACCCTGTAGGAGGAGTTCTTGGACAGACAGACAGGCTCACAGTCAGACAAACTCTCTCTGTTCTACAGTAGACTAGAAGACTTGCCCAATGTTGCATGGATCCTTCAGGGGAGGGGGCTTCCTCCCTAGCCCCTCCCAGACTGTGGGGTCCATCAGGGGCTTTCTCTCTCCCCCTTCCAGGGTTGTTTTTCTCCAGCTCCTTCCGGTCTCCTCCCTCCCAGGGAAGGGGAGCCAGTGGGGGGGCTTTCTCCTTCCCTCATTCCTCTTCCCAAGGTGACAGGGGCTTTCTCCCAGGCAGGGGGCTGGGGGCACTTACCCAATCTGGTGGCAGGCAAGATGGTGAGTCCCAGCCCCATCTGGCCATTCTCTTGGTGGTGTGTCTGCCTGTAGTGGTCACTGTAGTGGTCACTCTGCAGTGCAGCTGTTCCCTGTGTTCGCTGCCCCCAGTGGTGACTGTGAGTATCACGTCCCTCCTCTCTCTGCCCCTCCCTTTCCATGTTCTGGAAAACAGTCCCAGTTCTCCACACTTCCTATTTTCCTGGCATGACCAAACCCTGACCTTGCTTTCAATGATGAGAAGAGGAAGCTGCCTACCAAATTTGGTGGTCCTAGCTCTTGCTGTTTAGAAGGAGTTCTTGAACAGATTCACAGACAGACAGATAGATGTGCCTGTCTAAAATAAATAGATTAGAGTGAACCTCAGAATGTAAGGATGGCCCTGCTGAGTCAAACCAATGGTCCATCTAGCTCAGAGGCGCTATATGTCCAGAGCAATTGTGGGGATGTTGCTGGTATAACTCTAGATTTAAACCCATAAAGTAGAGTGGGGAAACTGGCTTGTAGCGTTTTGACTACCCTTCAGGGGTCATTCTAATGGTAGTACTGATGAATACAGCAAAGTGTCCATGAAACGACATTGCCTGGACTCCATACAGGCAGTGGGTTGGCTGTATTCGGCATGGTGGATTATGAACAGCACATTTCAAGGAGCTTATGTTAGGGAGCTCCTCAGGTGCAACTTGTATGTTTGTACAATGTCCCATGCACCTTCAGCGAAGGAATCTTTGGAGTTGCCTGGCTTTCTCAGCAGCCATCTGGTAGTATTGTACATATAGCTGTCTGCTCCTTTAAAGGGATTATATGAGAATGACCACACTGGGTCAGACCAAAGGTCCATCTAGCCCAGTGTCCTGTCTGCTGACAGTGGCCAGCGCCAGGTGCCCCAGAAGGAATGAACAGAACAAGTAATCATCACTTGATCACTCCCCTGTCACCCATTTACAGCCTCTGAAAAACAGAGGCCAGGGACACCACCCCTACCCTAATAAATTAATGGAGATGAGCTCTGTCAATACCGATCTAGTTTTTTTTTGAATCCCGATAAAGTCCTGTTCTTTACAACATCCTCCGGCAAGGAGTTCCATAGGTTGAGTGTGTGTTGTGTGAAGGAAAACTTCCTTTTGTTTGTTTTAAACCTGCTACCCGATCATTTCATTTAGTGATCCTTAGTTCTTGCATAAACATAGGGAGGGGAGAGTTGGAAGAAGGGTCTGCTATAAGCAATGCTCAGCCTTGAGAAGAATCACAAGTAAGGTGCATCTCAGTAAGGCAACTATGGGTAGGAGGGATGTTAAAAAGCGGTTAAGGAGGTAACTGTATAACTCTGAACATCTCAGTGCTTACACAGTTACATGCTGCTGGCTCAGCGTATAAGGCTTACGCTGCTGAGCCTGCAGAGTAGCCAGGTATCTGGGAGAGTTGGTGGCCAGTGAGGGCCGGGAGCTGATTGCTGGTTGCCAGTCCCACTCCCGGGGAGCTGGCTGCACTGCAGGCTGTGCAGTATAAACTTTATACTGCAGAGCCTGCAGCGTAGGGCAGCAGCTGGCTCCCCGGGAGCTCGTGCATGCCGGGGGCCAGCTTTTAATCCAGCTCCTGGTCCTGCCTCCACCTCCAGGTACTGCCCTACAAGCTCTGATACAGAGGCAGCAGTGTGGAGTGGCAGCTGGCTCCCCAGGAGCCGGGCAGGGAGCCATGTGTAACCATTATGGTTCATGCTTATTGGTTAACCGTTTAAACCGTTCTACCGTTACATCCCTGGTGGATAGTGACACTGCACAGGTGATCCGCTATTCTTGCCGAGTGCGAATGGAATAAAATAAGGGAAAGCAGCTGCATCTAAGCCTGTGATACCGTAAGTATCGGTGTGGTGTGTAGAGGATCAATGGTAATTTGTGTGCAGACGTGGAAAGGCCAGAGGTTGTTTGTGGGGAATGGAAGCCGTGGAGGGTGTGTTGGGTCTGTGATATTTTGCATGGGGGAGAGAAAAAGGGTGCGATTGGTGGGCGTCATGGAACTGTGAGTGTTTGAGGGGGCTGCATGGTGGGGCGCGGGAAGCAGACGGTGAAAGATGTGTGTATTTCTAGGGATCATTGGTATTGCACGTGCGGGGCCAACGGCTGTGTGTGTTAGAGGTGTCCGTCCTCTGGGGGTGCCGAGGGCTGTTTTGCGTTTGCTGTGTATGTGTTAACGGTCACAACCCTTGTGCAGGGCCATAGATCTCTGTGTTTGTCTAGGGAGGCGCTAGCATTGTGTGCGCATGTGGAGGCAGGGAACAGCACTGCTTGAGGACGTATTATTCTTCAAACTCCTTGCTTGTCCCTCTCAGAGTAATACGGTCTGAACCATTCCACTGGACTGACTCATCAGAGGAGAATTCATGCGAATCACATTCCTGAGCCCCCTTGCTCGCAGGTGCTAGTGGGTCTGTTACGCGCTGTGGTATTTTCATTCCCAAATGTGGTTCTCTCTGTTTTTATCACCCTTCAGCTCCCAGAAAACCCCCCTCGGATCCCCCGTTCGACCCCGTGGTGAAAAATAAAACAGAAACCTCCGTGACGCTGGCCTGGTCCCCTCCCAGAATGGAGCGTTTCATCCCCATCGATGGTTACCAGGTGGAACGTAAGAAATTGACCGGCTTTACCTGGACGAGATGCCACCAGTCTCACATCCCCACCCCAGAGTTCACAGTGAGCGACCTGGCCGAAGAGGCAGACTACCAGTTCCGAGTTTCCGCTGTCAACAGCTACGGTCAGAGCGCTTACCTAGAGTTCCCAGGGACCCTGCACCTCGGTGAGCCACCCAAACAAAGGGATTCAGGCTACTCTGTTGACTAATGATATGGCCGTGATCGTGAAGTGGGCACAGCAAAGCAATGCTCCAGGGTGGCATGTGTGGGCTTCTGTAAGGTTAAGTGCTAGAAGCAGAGAGCTCTGCTTTGAATCTCAAGTCCTTACTCACGGGAATGCAGAGCTGCATCTGAAGACATGGTCTCAAAGGGTGGGTGGAGAACATAAGGCCCAGGGGCTGGATGTGGCCTGTGGCTTGCCTGGATCCAGCCCCCGAGGCTCAGGGCTCCCCCACCCCAAGTACTGGGGAGCCCGGGCTAGGCTCCAGCTCCTCCACCACGGAGCAGGAGCACACTTAACCTATGAGCCTGCGACCTCCTAGGCTCTGGTGTGTGAGGGAAATGTGGGGAGTGTCTTTCCCCTTCTCAGTCAGGGGCCTTGTCAGTGAGGATTTTTTTTCTTTTGCTTCTCACTTGTGTGCGGCCCCGACTGGTTTTTCTGTGGGTCAGTGGCTCCCGACCCAAACAAGGTTCTCCAGCCCTTAAAGCAACCCTTGAACAGGTCAATGAGCCGGCCAGCCCTGAGCTCCTGTCTTTGACTTCAGCCGCGCTGTTAGATGGTATTTCTGTGCAGCCATACTCATGGGGTGTGTCTAGACTACAGGGTTTTGGCGACAAAAGTGGACTTTTGTCGACAAAACTATACCTACATCTACACTACCGCCAAGTTCTGTTGACATAACGTCGCCAGAACTCGGCAGTTTTGTCGACGGCTGTAAACCTCATTCTACGAGGAATAACGCCTTTTGTCAACAGAGTTCTGTCAACAGAAGGCATTATTGCATTTACACTGTCCTTTGCATCTACACTCTCATGTCGACAAAGCGGCTTGCTTTATC